ACACTAAACTGTAACTTTAATAAGTTCACAGTTTACTCCTATTTAAATAAAAAGTTTGACCTGTAAGCAGAAAGCTTATGGATGTCGGGTTTTTTTTATCTCTATTTCAAAGAAGAGGAGGAGGAGGAGAACGAGGAAGTAGTAGTCAGTAACCTGCTGACTGAGAACATTTGTATATATTACACTTTGTATACAAAACAATATAGCCTACTTACTAAATTATATTTTTATTGAGATACGTTTTGGACAACCAAAATGTTTTGAGGACAACCAGATTTTGTCAAACCCCCACATGAGGTCACCACCACGGTTAAAATAATCCTTGGGGGAACTCTGGCATTCATTGAATGCCATATAGACATTCACACAATAAAAATTCAAAACTTGGTCTGCAGCCAAGCTCCCACCCCACAGAGCCCCCCAAAGCCTGCCTGAGAACCTCACCAGCATAACTTCAAATGGAATGTTTGTTTTTATCAATCAACCATGCTGTAATGTTTGTTTGTTTGTGTGTTTGTGTGTTTTGTCAGCACTGGTCCTTCCTGTGTCTAACTTATCTCTTGTTCTGCTCTCAGCTGTGATGAGAGGAGCTCCTCCAGCTCCTCCTGTGGGGAGGTGAACACACCTGAGCTCTGAACTTGGACTGTCAGATGATTCATCGAGCTGTTGGAGAGAATTACGCACCCACACTACAACACACACACCCACACTACAACACACACACAACCACACTACAACCCCAGCTTTGACACAAGAACAGAACCCCTAACCTCTGCGACTGGGCCCACCTGGACGTGTGTCGATGACTGACCCGACCTATCAGGACCAAACTCCACACGCTCCCAGCATCTCTGCATTCCAGCTTCTGTTTTTCTTTAATGTCTGTTTTTGATTACAATGTTGATAGTTGTGATATTACTTATGACATGACAATTTTGTTATTTTTTTTTTAGGTGTCTGCAATAATTTGTTGGGGGTAAAAATCAGTAGTACACAAGTCTGAAGGAACAACAGGAGGAATTCCACTCATGTTTCTGCAAAACTAATTTTGCAGATGAGGTGCTCAGCAGTAGCTGTGATTTAGAATAGCTCTAGATGTTGATAGCCATTCCAGCTGTGCCAGGTAAGGGTGTGTTTCAGTCAGCTCGTTACTTATTCTCAGTGTGCCAAATCTTATGGAGTCACAGGGATGATGCAGTGTGATGAGTTCTGTATACGTCCCAAGGAAAACAGTCATTTCTCCTCTTTGATTGAGGATGAAAGCTGTGTGTGCTGTCTGCTTGTTTCTTCATTTAGGACATGTTGTGTGTTTTATTTTTCCATCTTCTAGCCTTTTTTCTCCACAGCTTTACTGTTAAACTGACAGATGCACTGTGCACGATWAAGACTTGTGCACCTAAGACATCAAGATTTCTTTCACATTGATAAGAATGTTTTTTGATGTGTCAGCACAAAATTATTTGTTTACTGGACCAAGTTCAAGTGGTTTAGCTGCAGGTTTTAGAGCCCTTCGGATGAGTTTACAAGGGAATCGTTTTGTCATTTTCTTTAGCGCTCTTCCTTTAGGGAAGTYGACCTAAAAACTGTTGTTTCTGCTGCTTTTGCTGCTTTAAAAGGAGACTATAAGGTCAGAGAGGGAGATTGTTTATTTGCTATGCAAGGAGCAGTTTGTACAGATTGTAGCTGAGGAAAACAAACACTCAAGTGCCAGAAAACTCTAAAAAAACATGGAGTTTCTATAACGTACTTCAAAGTTCCACTTTATGACACTAATCACGCCACAGATTGTTGAGACACACAAGAGGAGGTGCTGTTTGAGGTCAGGTTGTCCATTCTTGGCGGTGCAGCACCTCCTGCTGGTCTTTGCCTTATCTCATTGGTACCAGTGCTGTTTTTGTTGGTTTTCAAGTGGAGGCTGGTGTCCAGAAAATAAATAAGAAACTAGTCTGTTTGAAAATGCAATAAATATTGTATATTTACATTAAGGAATATGTTAATCATAGTTACTGATCTATTTTTATGTTGTAAAGATTGTTTATAGGAGGGTAAAAACTTGTAACTATGTTGCAGTGGGTGAGCAGGGCACCTCTCTGGATGTTTGGGTGAATGACCTGCAGGTGACCTTTACCGACAGGTGTTTTTTGTGTGGGGGGACTCCTGCAGTCCACATGGGCTCTAAATGTGATGAAGGATGGCAACAACTCAAGAGAGCATCTTGCCAACTGAAGAGAGAACTCTGTAATCACTTGTTAATCAACCATGTTTTATCAATTGAAATGACTTTAAATAAATATATTCCTGTTGGGGATAAAGGGTAACTGAATCCTTGTTCTTTCTGACTGATTTGGCTTTTAATGAGTTTGTGTTGTTTTCACAGTAGCTGCGTTTCCTTTGACCATGAAAATGTGCAAATTAGAATTTCGAAAATAAATTTGCTCAATGGAAACATGTCAATTTGGAAAAAAAATTATGTTTTTTGACAAAATGTTTTTGCACTAGAATGAGGTGGTTTTTCAGCCGTATCGAAATTGGTGTTTTTCGCAAAACTGCAATTGGAACACTTTTTTCGCATCACGGGAGTCACGTGATCAACAACCGGCTGTTTCTACTGGTGAAAAAGACGATGAAGAAGATAACAGATGATGCTGAAGACAACAGGCAGTTTGTGGCTTGTACTTCTGGTCAGAGCAGGCTGTTGAGCAATTTGTTGGTTAGGGTTAACAACCCATGCTAGAAGTGTGACACCTCACAAAAAAGTCCCGTGGGATTGAGGATGACCTTATTTTCAAGGTTAGATGAAAGCAGCTCTGACGAGACCATTTCACAGTAGAGGTTTAATCTTGGTCCAGCATGGACAGTGGCAGGTGATGTGCAGTCCTCTGAACAATGCTGGATGGCTAATTTTCAATAATGCATCACTAGCTGTGTTTCCACTGCAAATGTGCACAAAACTTTGTTGATATTCTGTTAATGTCGAAAAAACACATTTTCGCAACTGCGGTGTTTCTATTAAGTAAGAAATGCTATTAAAGTCACGTGAATACGTTTGTTCTCATGATAAGTCATTACAAACATGGCAGCGATGGATGTAAACACATAGCATGTTGCTACCATGACACTAGCGCTCATCATCAGAGGAGACGTCGGCGTCTTTTATCGAGGCTTTCCAGAGACAAGTCCCTACTTGGGAGCGGCTACGTATGCTGTGTTTTTGGGAAATTGTAGTCGTTGAGTTTACTATTTTATACTACTTCTGTGATATTACTACTACTTCTACTTCCTGTAAGCTCAGCTACAGATCCTCCTGGCCAGAAACAAGACTCCTGCCTGCAGAATATATGGTTTGATGAGTGGAAGGTAGGGTTGAGATGCAGATGTCCTGCTGAGGTTCTCAGGAGCTGAAGCCACTCTGCTGCGTCTCCCAGTGACCTGCGTGATTCTTCACCACAGCTTCTCTCTATCAGCTGGTAGATGATGATTGTCAAAAACTAGCTGCATAGCATAAAGATAAAATATCACACTGTGCAAAGCAAGAGCTGAAAAATACTAATACACAGGCTTGAGCTGAAAAATACTAATACACAGGCTTGTCATTTTGCTGAAATCCTAAAGTGGTTCTGAATTCCGGTCTTGGTGACCCACTATCCTGCAGGTTTTAGATGTTTCCCTGCTCTTCAGCAGGTCTTTAAGTTCTGCAGAAGCCTGTCAATCACTCATTCATTTAAATCACGTGTTCCAAAGCAGGGAAACAGCTAAAACATGCAGGATAGTGGGTCATGAGGACCGGAATTCAGAACCACTGCGCAACTTCGGTGTTGTGTTAGCTTGATAGCTATTTATAACTTATAAAAAGAGTACAACATAATTTACATGTAACGTTATGACAAAAGGAGCACTTGTGTAGATAAAGTATGGGCAAGACATGATAGTTAAAAATATATTATTGATGGTTTGTTCTTACCTGTGACAGCTTAGCTCTTAGGCTCACTTCCTGTTTACAAGCGTGCGCGTTCCCGACTCTGGGCCCTGCTGTGGGGGAGGAGCTTAGGACGGGGAGCTGAGAGCAGGGGGAGGGACTACAAGGTTGTATCTGTTCAAAAATTTTTCTAAGTTTTTGGGTTTTCAAGAAACTACATACAGCAGCTTTAAGTACAAAATATATTAGATACTTTAATACTTTTACTCAAGTAAATATTCTTAGAGGAGACTTCAATTTTTACCAAAGTAATTTTATGGTAAGAAACTTGTACTTTTATTCAAGTATTACTTTGAGGTACTTTATCCAACACTGGAGAAATGTCCCACAAACATGCCGCGTCCGGGAGACTGAGCCGGACACTGTGGTTAATCTGAGACAGCTAATCTGAGGCAGCTAATCTGAGACAGCTTCAGACAGCTGTCACCGGGGGAGAGCTGACGGAAGTTGCGCAACTTTTTGTCACTCAGCAGGAGGGAAAAGACTTCAACCAGACTTTAACCACATCTTCAACTTGTTTTTTTTTTTTTTTACAAAGTGCAGTAGGAAGGAAACGGGAATAGAATTAACGATTAAAGACAAAACAAAAACATAAAACTACAGTGAAGCTCCCGAAGAAATCAGATTCCGCCAAAACCAGTCTTTTAATCAAACTCCCGCCACAGGTCTGCGTGCGGCGCGACGCAATGCTGACGTCACATCCGTCTTTTGCGCTCGACCAATGAGCGTGGCAGGATCTGGAAAGCCGACCAATCAGAGCAGCAGCGGGAGCTGCAGCTGACGGAAGAGGAGCTGGAGATTTGGCGCAAGTTTTTGTCCAGAGACAGGAGGCGAAAGAGCAGTGTGTTCGGTCTGCTCCTCTGTSAGCTCCCTGAACTCCTGTTAGCTAACAAACACGTTCAGCTCGAGCGCTTCGACTGAAACAACTGAAATACTTTCATTTCCTACAACACCGGAAGTTGGAAAAGCCCGCGGAGTTTGTTCCACAGAGACTGAGCAGGTTTGTTCTTTTACCGTATAAAATACTCCCAGATTGATTTTCTGTCACGTTTTACTGTGTTTTGTGTTATTTATKTGAACAAGTGTGTTTCGGGTCGGATGAGATTCCAGACTACCTCCTGTTTTCATGTCGACGCCACTTCTTGGCGCCATTAGGACACTTTGTTTTCCTGTTGTTAGTTTCACTCATCTGCAGGGCTCACACACGTTTTAAAGTCAAGTTTTGACTCATAATTATCTGATTTTTAAGTCTCAGTTGCTGTGAAAAGGTTTGGAATAATCATAGTAATTATTAATGAATGATAAACAGGTGGTGTTGTGTGGGGTGCAAAGTGTAAAGTTACACAGTCAAAAATTAACACCAATATTTTTCTTTTATTTAACCTTTTATAAGAAAAAAGAACAGATTTATTTTTCAAAGTCAGTTTTTCACYATATGATTCATACATTTATAAATGTCATAGTTWATAAACTAAATATTTAACTTACAATTTAAATATTTAGTTAACAAGATAAATATTTAACTTGTGACTTAAATATTTAGCTTTGAGCTAAATGTTTAAAATGTGACATTTATAAATGTATGAATCATATGGTGAAAAACTGACTTTGAAAAATATTTTTTTCTTATAAAAGGCTAAATAAAAGAAAAATGTGGTGGTTAATTTTTGACTGTGTAACTTTACAAACAGTGTTGGGAATGACTCAGCTACTGTCAGATTGTTGGATAATGTTAATGTTACTGAGTGAGGTGAAGCCTTGTTTTGTTTTGGCTGAATTTATCTGACATGTTGGTTTGTTCAGGTTTGTGCATCAAACCTGTTTGTATAGTTTTTAGATCGGTTACAAAGAAGATTTGATGTACTTTAACCTCTTACAGGAGGGCCTATGTAATTTAAACAGTTATTTAATGATTGTTTTTCCTGATGTATCAGAAATACAGGTAGAAAAAAATCAAAAAGAAAAATAAATCCTCTCTCCTTGRAGGAGAGACGAAACGTTTCACTAAAGAAGAACCCATCCAGAGGACCTATTTATATTTTTTCTTTTTAATAATGATTATGGACCATGTTTCCTGCAGAGGCCCCAGAATGCCCAGCACCCGCTCCAAGGGCCAGGCTCAGCCCACGCTGCAGTTTCCACGCCGCAAATCCTGCCGAGCATCAAGTATCAAGACTCCCAAATGCCAAGAGGCTCCGCCTTCATCACCAACAAAGCCATCGCCCAACCCCGTTACCCGGATCAGACCCCTCTCCCCGAGACGCCCAGCCCTGCCTGTGTCCCTGACACCAAGAAGCCTCGTGGACCAGCTCCCTCCACGGTCCCTGAAGCAGCCAGGTCTGAGGCCTCTGTCCCCCAGACGACCTGCAGTTCAGCCACCGACCCCACCCTCCGCTGCCCGACTCCCCCTGAGCCCACGGAAACGCACAGGTGAGTCGCAACGAGAGGAGAGACCCAGAACAACCAGTTAGTTCGTTTTTCTGGTTCATGATGGACATGATTGATCAACAATAGGGTTGGGCAATATTGGCAAAAAATAATCACGATTAATTTAGGTATTTAGCCGATAAWGTTTAATTTGAYGATTAATCCCCTGGAGTCCCTGGACACCCTTATGTCCTSGTCACATGACCAATTTAGTGGGAAAGATTTGCTCTTCGTAAAAATCTGTTCCAAATTGTGTCAAAATGACTATATATCTAATAGTATTCACACTATTGTTTTCGTGTTTCTTTTTATTCTTTATGCACACTATTGGGATTCGTTTCCCATCCAAGTCATCTCCACTTTGGCACGCTTCTCCTCCTGCATACTTTGTCCTACAGCTGCCATTGTAATTTATATCTGTAAAGCTCCTGTGCCAAATGATGGCTATGCCTTTTGGTGCCTGTACAACTTATAGTTTTTGAAATATTAATGTTTAATAATTTATAATGGGAGTCAATGGAGCATTGTATTGGTCCAATACTGCCCCTGCTGTAAATACGCAGTACTGAACCATAGTTTAATAATATTTAATCTCAATAGTTCAGTGGTTGCAATACTAATATGACTGTATTTTGATGTTTTACTATAATATTGTCCTAATACTGCTCTATTGCTGTAATATATTGCAGTTTAGTGTCAACAATTGCATTGGCAATGTGGCCTCTTTCTGCACACATGCAAACCAACCCCTGGTAGTGCTCTCTGCCACAAATCCAATGGTCTCATACCATGGGCTTTCATGTGGGAGATGTCATCAGTGACGTCATCAGTCACATAAGGGACATCATCAGTCACATCAGTGACATCATCAGTTTGTTTCTTAGCTCTTCTTCAGCTAAAGTTATCAGAAAGAGGCATTCACACTAGCATTTTCTCTGGAAATGCAAATTCTCTAGTTTTAAATTGTGTTGATAGATAAATAAATTACAGAACTTCTTTAAAAATGTTGGTCATATTTGAAGCAGAGAGGAGCAGGGAGCACGCTCTGCCTGGTGGCATTAATCGTATTAATCGTCAAGTGCCAAATAATAATCGATTAATGTTTTTCTGACGATTAATTGCGCACGATACGATTATGCCCAACCCTAGTCAACAATTGTGTTTTTGTTTTCTCAGGTGATGAGAACGGCTGCAACCTCAGCGCCGCCCTGCAGGGTTCCCCTCCCAAGCAGAACAAACCCACTCTGACCTCGCAACGCAAACTGGGCTTCGACGAGAACTCGCCGGCCTCGTTCCACCCAGCATCAGGTCCGTCCTCTTCACAACAGCTACTGTCTACAGACAAGTTGTCCCCCAGAAAGCTAGAACCGCCCCCTGGAAGTCCTGTGTGTCCAACCCTGCAGACGCCAGCAGAAAGTAAGAGCTTCAGTGTTTGGTTCTAACTCTGGATGACTCTGCCCGACAGTAAAGCGTTGTTTGTGATGATGTCACTGACCTGTGGTGGTTGTGTTTCCCTCAGAGTCCAGGCTTCAGAGCGTGAAGCAGGTCCTCCACACTGCGGTTCCTCAGCGCCTGTTGTCCCGGGAGGCTGAGCAGGCCTCCATTCGCTCTTTCCTGCAGGAGAAGGTCCTGCAGCGAGTCCCTGCCAGCCTCTACATCTCAGGAGCCCCAGGGAGCGGGAAGACGGCCTGCCTGAACTGTGTGCTGCAGGACATGAAGGTGGGTCCTGCTTCACAAGGACACTTTAAAGAGTTACAAGTCAGCTTTTCTTAACCCTTTAATTCATTTTCAAGAAATGTTCTGGTCAGTACAAGACTGCAGAGTTGTTGTTTTTCACTACTGACTGTTGTGCTGTGAGCTAGGCCTGTTGATAAACTGAAAATTAACAGACATTTTATAACCAACATCATTTTACTCATTTGTGATATTGAAATGAGGATTAAGTAAAATTTGGTCAAAATGACCTAATTACATTTTCAGATTCTTGGCTTT